TACTGCTGCGCAGTGATGGCTATCTGTTCTTGGTTGCTCAGAGGTGATGGCTGCGGTTTGATACTTAACACCCTCAATACCCTCTGAGTAGGTGATGGTCGTCCTATTTTACTACGGGAAAACCAAGGCTTAAAATTTGTGCTAATTTGCCTGATTCCACAACCAGCCAGCAGCTGAACTGGGATGTGAATCTGGAGTGCGTGATTTGAAATTCAATCCCTTCACTACAGCTTCCCAGCCACACAAAGTCAGAACTCCTCGAGTCATAAGTAGATTTTTCTCTCCGATTAAGGTGTACAGCTTCTGTGAGTTTACTGTCTCTCAAATCCGTTCCCTCCTCCCAGGTCTCGTAGTTACCTACTCTTTGGGAACCATCTGCCTTTATTTTGGCCTGGAATTCAGCACGGTGGGACATTATACTTTGCCCCGCCCTCCTTGCCTTTGAAGCTCATTTAAAACAAATGGTGGGTTCGTTATCCCTCGTATCTTAGCCCAGCCAAAGCTGGAAATGGCCATGAAGAAGAATTCTGTTTACATCTAAACCCAATGAAGAAATTCTGCTGGGATTCTGGGAGCAGAGGAGGGATGTATACAGAGGGTAGGGGAAAAGACACTCTCCTTGCTTCCATTCCACACCCCGAAACCTGGACAGACAAAGGAAAAGGAGATCTGCCAGCCCCCAGCACATGGGCTCTTTGCTTGCGTAGCTCTCCATGGCGGAGGCAGAAGCCTTGAGAGGACAGCTGGGCGCTCCTGCCCTTGTTCCTGCTGGAGGCCAGGAGGGCGTGGGTCTCCACTCCTGGCTGTGAGCAGACAGCTGCCAACACTGGAAGACAGTAGTGCCGCGATATACGGAAGGTCCAAGGCAGGTCTTGGCCTTCCGGGAGCTATGGAAATCTCCAGGTTCTGGTTTTCCCAGTAGGGAAAGAGGAGGCACCTAAAACTCTCAAGATGAATTTCTCCTCTACATTGGCAGAAAGGAAGTTGGAGTCCAAATGAAGATGGTTATGGGGAATAATCTCATGCAGTGAGAGTCTGACCCATGGTCCCTCAGGAAGACGCTACAAATCCTACTTAGAACCCTGCCTAGCTGGGAAGAAGACGTAGCTACAACTGCTGGGGACTGGAGCCCGTTTTTCATAAAAAGGCCACCACCAGTCCACAGAGAGGTCTGTGAAGTGCTAGTGACCTGGGAGCTAGTGATCCTGGGTCAGACAGAGCAGGAAGGAAGGAAACCAGGGCAGATGGTAGAGCACAGCACTGAGAATGCCTCTGATTCACACACAAATACCTAAAAAGTGAGAGGCCTTTATCTTAAGCTCTGGACTGCTAAAAACAAACAAAAAAGGAGAAAAAGGGGGATCTGCTTTGAAGCACAAAGAGGAGCCAGAGCAGCTGGCACCTTGGGTCCAGGACACCCCTGTTCCCTAGGCGTGGGTGTCCCTCCCGGGCCAGCATGCAGGGAAGGGAACAGGACTTGATTTCCATGAGATGGAAATGATGGTGTCCAGGAAACTGGGATGCTTTGGGGGAGGGAGAAAAGGTGTAAGTCCTCGTGACAAATGGGGTGAGTGCCGTTCTCCAAGGAAATGCCACTTCAGTTCTGTAGCCGAATGTCTGCCCCCTGCAGAAGGGCCTTGCTGAAGGCCCCGGTGAAGCCTGAAAAGGATTTTGGACATGCCGAGATAGATCAGCTATCATGCAGAAATTAGAACTTTGAGTGCAAAGAGCCATGGCCAGCAGAACTTCAGCTAGGGAAACATCAGGCAGCAGAGAAGCTTATTTTCTTGCCAAATGGGTACATAACTAAATCTGAAGGGTGGCTGGGGTGTGCAGCTACAAGGGCAGTCATCTATCTACAGGAGGCTACATTCCCATCCGCGGTGCCTGCGAGCGGTGGGGCGGGACGTGGAGAAGGGAGGACCGCCCACTCCACTGGGGCAGATGGAACTCTTATCTAGCTTTTTGCAGAGGCCCAGCAGCTTAGTGAGGAGCCTGGAGCCTGGAGTGCTGCTTCTGTATGCATGACCCTGAGATCTGCACCTCTTCCCTAGGCTCTCTGGTTTTGAACTGCTTCCCTGCATTCAGTCAAAAAACTGCTGTCAGTGTGATTCCTCGAACATGCAACTATGTTCCTGTCACTTGCCTGTTTGGAATTCTTCAACGGTCCCGTTAGTTTCTGTCAACTGCAACCAGGAGCCCTGTCTAATCAGAACCACTGAGTTTTTAATCACACAGCACCGTGTTCAGGCTGTGTTACAGAAAGAGACTTCAGACAGCGGACATAGAGATGATTCTCCTGGATTTATCAACTGCAAACATTAAAACGGGCAAACAGGTAAGTCGTGCACAAGTACAAAGTCTCTGTGATGAAAGTGATCATTGTGTGCATTTAAAATGTACTGATAAACTTAATTTTTAAAAAGAAGATAAATAAAATGGGCAAGTGGTAATTCCCATAGCAAAAATCAAACCAAGCAACAAAACTCCTCGAAAGAATAAATGCTACCACTGAACACCCAGGTTTCTCCACAACAGCATTCACAGAGTTTTCCCTCCTCCCTGAATCCCAACTAGCAACATCTACGCACTTCGACTTGAACATGAGAACCACTGTAGGGAAATGAAGTCAAAAGACTGTAATCTTAATGTGGTTTAAATTCACATGGCGATTGTGTGTGTTTTATGAATCACTTTTAATTCCTGCTGCTGAAACAAAAAGAAAAAGTATTACCCTGGTAAATTCTACAAAATGGATCAATTAGGCTACTCCCCAAATACAGTATACTTTGTTGTAGCATAAGCATACGTAGTTTCCAGCATTTTAAACACTGAGAAACACACTTTATTTGCTAATTTTAATAACTGTATGTAATACTCTCCTCTATTAAGAACCAACTGCCTTCATTTTCACTTTTTACTTATTTAGTATTCATGCAGAAGGGAAGTAAGTTTTAATAATACTCCCTAGATAGTAACTATTCTTTTCTGAAAGTGGTACAACAATGCATTCTACTCTTGCTCCATTTATTATGAGGGATGTGTACTCCACTTCATACTGTATTATGTTATGCTCCTGTGGTTAAAGAACTAACCCAAGGGCAGTATTCTTCTAGGTAGCATCTAAGACAGACGGAGTAGAAAGAAAACTAGCTTTAGAGTTGGATGGTTCTAGATTTTAATGCTGGTTCTGCTACCTGGAAGGTGTGTGACCTCCACCGAGTTGCATAATTTCTTCACTAAGCCTGAGTCTCTGCCATAAGATGAGGATATCTATCTTATGGAGCTGTTACAAGAAGATACATTACATGGATGCATATGGTGGCATAATGGTGGGTACAGAGTCCAAAACTGATGTATACAGATGTGGCCTATAAGTAAGAAGTAGTAAGAGTGGTTCTATTTGCATAATGGATGAGCTTATTGCAAGGAAGCTTTAGTATTGTTAATAAACAAAATTTATTTTGAATGATCCACTTCAATCCTCTTTCTTTGCTGTGAATCATCATCTTACTTTCTAACATATGCTTGTAAGAGAAATTTCTATCATTATCTATTCACTTTAACAGTAAATGCTGTACATTGGGAGATTACTAAATTCTTAAGTAGTGCAGAACAACTGACTGTGCTCCTAATGAAAGACTGAGTTTGATGACAGCAAACAATTATAAATGGGCCTGCCATGAACTGGTCACATGAATGTCATAAAGGTACCCAAAACATGAAGCCATTTGTGCATTTTTAGATTTTGCTAAATCTTTGCTTCTGAATGTGTTGTTGGGGAACTAGAACAATTTTGGTTAGAATTATCTGGCGATTGTGTACATGTACCAATCTCCAAGATAAATATAAACCTCAGGTACTGCAAACATGTATTAATAAATGAAAAACCACTACTGATATTAAGTGTTAAAAGAAGAATCATCTGGAGTGCAGAATGTACATGGGCACACCTGATGCCCCCACCTGAGACAGCCGGAAATCAGTTTAAAGATCACAAAGGCAGCCAGAAGTGGTTTATCGCGGGAAAATGGGGGGGCAGTTCAGATATAAGATGGATTATAAGAAAACTTACAAAAACCACCAGAATAAAAAAAAATTATGGAGTCTCAGTAAAGGACATTTTGCCTAACAATATATGGAAAGAGGCCAAGAGTTTTGGTTAAGCAACAGCATAAAGCTGCAAAGCAAAGGAAGGGTTGCTTTAGGGTTAAATGGGCTTGGACAGAGAATTAACACATGCTATAGGGAAAAAACCACAAAAATGTTGGCTGGGAAATTTAAGGCTGGAATTAAGGACCATTATCTTAAAAGGAGTGGTTAAAACAAATCATTATCTTTGTAAGAATGGTGGAAAATGAGAAATAAAAATTTTTGATATGTAACAGGGACCCTGGCACCATAGATTCCTTCAAATAAACTCTGGACCTACCTACGTCACAGCTTTAGGAAACTTGGGTAGAATATGCACATAAACGGACAATCACCCTGCATTATGATTTAGGAAAGATGATTTAGAGATTCTGAGTTATACGTTACAGGGCACATATGTGATTCTAAATGGAGGATAACACCATTTCCTAGTATTTTTTTTAAGATAAAACAATTCTAAAACATCTTTTTAAAATAAAAGGGAAGGAGATCATAAATGTCCTAGTAAACAAGTCATGACACACAAAAATCAAAGGTAGAGTACCCATCATTTCTACTACAGTATGGACAGTGACAGCATTCTTAGTAAATTCTCTTGGCTTTTTTAAAGACAGGGTTTTGTAAGTTCCTAACCTTTATCCCTCAATCCTATTTTTCCCTCAAGACCTGAAATTCCTCAAATGCAAACTCCGGCACTGAGGTTTGAGGAAATGCTGTAACCCTTCTACTGTGCAAGAGGCTTTGGCATGTGCTCCTCTGCAGGGAGAAAACGCGAGCAGTTATCACTGGCCATGGGGGGAGGGGAGGGGAGTGGGCAGGTGTCTGAGAGCTTGCTGAGCCATCCTTACCTTCTTCCTATTCAAGGTACAGGTGAGTTTTATATGTGACCCAAAGCAGAGGCCACATCAGATGTGAGAGCAAACCTGGGGGGAAAACATAAGAAAAAGGTGTAAAAAGAACAAAAACAAACCACACTTGTACCCCATATGGAGACATTTACCTATGCAGAATGTGAGCTAGCAGGTGCCAGCATCCAAAATCTCCCCCCGTCACACTCATGCCATTATGTCATTGTGTCATAGCGCAACATTCCTCTAAGTGCTGAAAGAATGCATAAGTATGTATGTATATAGTTACTGCTTTCGAGACATGGACTTGCTAAGTTGTCCGCCTGGTCTTGGACTCATGATCCTCTTGCCTCAGCCTCTGCAGTAGCTGGGATTAGAGATGGTGTGCCCACTATACTTGGTTTTCAAGGCTTTTTCATTTGAAAGAGGCAATACAGTAGTTAACAGCATGGCTATGGTGTCAGAAGGCAGACAGTCAAGTCCTAGTGTGCACTGGACCTACCCAGGAACCTCATCCAAACTGTTTAATTTCTCTAGCTTCTTCACCCATAAACTGGAGAGAGTCATGATGTACCTGCAGCACAAGCACCCTTGGAAACTGAGTGAACTGATAGGAGTAAAGTGCTTCACCCCCGTGCCTGTGAGCAGGAAGCACTCAGACATTAGCAATTATTTTTCAAGACCTGAAGTATAAACACCTCACAGCTTGAAGCAGAAACGAGAAGTAATCAGAACGTTTTTAAAGAGTGTCAAGTAAGCCAGGTAAGGGGGCACAAACCAGGAACCCCAGCCACCCTGGAGGGTAAGGCAGGATTGCAAATTTGAGGTCAGCGTGGACAGTTGAGTGAGACCCTTAAAAACAAAACAGGACTGGGGATGCAGCTCAGCAGTAGGGTATAGAGCACTTGCCTTGTATGCCTGAGGCCCTGGGTTCAATGCCCAGTGCCGGGGGAAAAAGGGAGTGTCAACCAAGAATAAGATGCTGCATAGGGCTGCAAGTAAAGGGCCCTGGCAGAGGGGTGGGGGCTACTCAGGAATAAAGAGAGGGCACCAAAAGGCGAACTATCAAAAACAGAACACCTTACCTCTGCAAAACTTCAATATTTTCAAAGACAAGACTATCCTGAGGGGAGGCCTGGGACACAGGACTTGACCCTGAGCACACCCAGGAATTGACCGTAACAGAAGTAAAAGACAGAAACTGGATGGTGACAGAAGGGAAGGCAGTAGTGGGATTTTTAAAGCCCAAAAAAAGATTTGAGTATACTTTTCCATGCAAAGAATGAAGACAGAAAGTACACCATAATAACTCAGAGCCACCAAGCCTCGCTTCCACAGAAACAAACTCCTTCCTGAGCAGCAGTCCTGTCCAACTGGATGGATATTTGAGCACACAGCAGCCTCCTTCTGTAGTTGGTCCACATTTATGTACTGACTGGAAAGGCTAGGAGCTTCTTCCCCCTAAGAGCAAAACTTTATTAATCTGAATTCTACTCATCTACAGAAGTCATAACTTAGGCTCTGAACAGAGTTGGTTTTCTTCCCTCTGAGCTGGGGGTCTTTCCTTACTGAAAAATGTCTCACTAAAGGCGACAATAAGCAATGTTGCACATATTTAGTTATACATATACTAAGTAACATCCATGTGAATATACTGAACATTAATTACAAATAATTAGGTAATGAGTTCTCACAGAAAATCTTTATACTGCAGTAACATTAAACTTCATACATATCTTACATATAATTTTGAACGATCTTATATTTTAGACAGCGTCTCTTGCAATTCAATCTAGTGGGTAAGGAGGATGCCGTATTTTCAATAACTACATGGTTTTTTAGGGGGAGCAGTACTGGGAACTGAACTCTGGGCCTTTGCACAGAGCTGTATCTCCAGCCCTTTTTATTTTGTATTTTGTATTTTGAGACAGATCTTACTATTTTGTATTTTGTATTTTGAGTCCAGGCTGGACTCAAACTGTAATCCTCCTAGGTCAGCCTCCCAAAATGCTGGAATTACAGATATGTGCCATCATCCCAGGATTATATGAGCCTTTTTTAAGGCCACTTTGTTTATTCAGTGTGGACGGATGGAAAGCTAAGAGGGGAGAATCTGGTGCTGTTATCTTTCTACTAGAATGTTTGCTTAAGTAGATCAAAGATGTAAGGACAGCGATCAAAAACATATTGATCCTCAAACTTGTTTGGAGGGCTGACTCTTAAATTGCTTGAAATTGTTATTTCAGTCTTTGGGCTAAAAAAAAAAAAAATGACTCTTTTATGGAGGATCCCATAGTTGAAGTTATCTGATTCTGTAAACAGCAAGCACGTAGTTTCTGGCGGCAGCCACTTCCTTGGCCGGCACGCAGATAAAGCAGTGCAGAGAGAGATAAGCTTTACCAATGAAAGTTGCGCTATCACACGGGAAAGTCCAACTTGGTTTCCTACTTTTTCCTCTATTCTTCACCCCTCTCCTCTGTGGAAGGATTGAGCAGCTGCGCTATAAAACTTCAGAGTTATGCGTAATGCTTTCTTATCTACAAGTGAATACTCAGGCAGATGAGTCCACCAGTGATCAAAGCCATGGTAAGTTTCCTGTTTCAGAAGAAATCTATAATCTCAGCATGAAGATAACCTGTGAAACCTACCATATTTGTACAACCCATAGAGATACCTATTCCTCTATAGATTACTACCAGGACCCACAAATCTGTAAACCTCTATTTGAAATTTCATCCTTACCTTTTAATCAAAACAGAAATCCAAGTAGATTTCTTTAAAAATAGTGGTAAAAATAAAAATGAGAGTGAAATATTAGCCAGTTTCTGTACTTTTATGCTTACTCCTCTATCCGCTCCAATTTCTCAAACATTTTCATTATGATTTTAAGTTATTTTTCCAAAGAATGTTGAGAACTACTTCCTGCTTAAAGAAAGCTCAGGCTCAAAGAAAGAAATAGATTGTAACTTGAGAATAGCTAAGAAATTGGGTTCATCTTAGGGTCCTGTGAAATCAGACCTCAAGCCTTCAGAATCGAAGTTTCCCTTTTACTTTCCACTGAGAACTTAAGGTGTTTGCTTCCTCTGATAAAGGATTCATCATAGAGGTAGTTAACCTGGTTAAGGAACTTGTTAAAGGATGTTTTGTGTGCATTATTTAACATTATATCATACAATTAAATCATATAAAATGGAAGCTGCATCCATCTCAGCCACTCATTTTGTTTAAGTGAAAGCCTACAAAATTCTTAATTAAATGCTTTTTCATTTTAATGGCAATAGTGAAACATCACCTTGAGATTTATTTTTAGGCAAGAATAATAGAACAGAGAGCTGGCCCCTGACTAGGACAAAGCCATACATGGCTATAGCCTCCTCCCGCAGCCTGGTGGGCTGCCCAATAAACCCGCCAAAGCAAAAATGTGTTTACTAATTCTCTAGAAAGCAAAGATTTCTAAAGGCTATAGCACCAATCAGGCTTTTCCTAAAATTTAGAATTCACTTTTGAAGGCTGGGTAAGTGATTATGTTCAAAGGAATGTAAGGGGAGCCATCAATCCTCATTCATTCAGCTGCATTTACAGAGCCAAGTGCTTTGCTAGGCTTGGAGATATCAAAATGAATACAGCACAGCTGCTTTATTTCCAGCTAACGGAATACACCTAAACAAAGGCCTTCAGGGCAATGTGTTAAGTACTATAATTGAGGTGTGCACAAAGGGTTGGGGGGCCAAAGGAAGAAGCCATAAATTCTTCCAGGAGTGGGGGCAGCATGCAAGAGGGGATGATGCCATTTCCTTGTGGCAACCACAAGAGTTTTTCTTTACTACGTTCTAAAAAGGCAGGTGGGAGTTTTAAGATTTATGAACTATTGTAATTTTAGGTGCTATTTTCCCCTATTTTAGGTGCTATTTTCACTTGTATGTATGTTCGACACTGACTTTCAGTTACAAAATCCCAGGAGTATACGTTTAAAAAAATAAATGTATTATAATATTCCCCATGAAATAAACATATTATAAAATTCCCACACAGTGCAGAATGGCATGGACTACCAGCATGAGGAAAACTTAGATCCCAAGTCTGAAGATGTTTTGAAACTTAACTGAATAAAAGACACATGAGAAAATTCACATATGATACTCTTAAATATCATTTTCTTCTTCTGAAGGCAAAAATAAAAGCATCACCTTATTATAGTGCAGTATTTGCCTTCCTCTACATCTGTGTTTTTAAAAAGGAGGGTGTTGAATCAACTTCTACTTGAGATCATTTACTATGCATACCATATTCCTACTTATAGCATGGTTGTGACAAAACCTCCATTGTTCATTACACACTAGCCCCAAACTTGAGTCATTCTAATGTAAGCATGAGAAACTCCCGTCTCCTTTGGGGTGAATTTCCAAATTCCTCTGTGTTAAATTGAGGTCTAATTTTCCTTGTGCGTGGTTTTCACAAGAAGGCCCATTCCGCCCCATGTGCTCCTTTTCAGCTGTCAATAAACAGAAGCAGTGAATTCCCCAGGGCTTCACAAAGCTAGTTAGGCAGAGCCATTCAGTCCTTCAGGAAAACAGGGCATTGATTTCAGCGAGTTCCCAGGGAGCAGCTGCAACAAAGAGATCAAAGGCCCACCTCTCTCTCTCTGCATTGCCTTCATTAGGCCCAGCCCAGACGAACAGCGACAGGTCTGCTTGAGACTAGGAGAGGGCCCGGCAGACCACCTCATGGTTCAATTCAGATCCATCCATTTCCTACATTCCGGTGACAGTCCAGAATGCTAACCATGACAAACCGGCACAATCGCAAGGCATAATATACTGCTCGCTAGTTCATCCAAGGTCAGAGGGAGAAAACAAGCGCGGAGGGAAATCCGCTGCTTCGGGGCCTGCTGCGCCTCCATGGCCCCCTGACATTCCATAAATAAACTTCTCCCTCTCACTCTCCCTTTCTGCCTCCGCCCTGCGACCCCACAAGTGATGATCTCACTTAACAAACTGCAGTTTCTTTCATGTCACCGCACCCAAACTGTTAGGAAACTTTAGTCCCAATCTAACACTTGTCCCGGTCCTAAGGTG